TTGACATGATGTTTATTCATGACAATGGTCCAAATGATGCACATCATTTGATCAATAACATGTTTCTGTTGATGTTGTTGATCAAGATGATGCAAACATTGTGGTCTTAATGGTGCCCTTGTTTATGAACAGGGTGTTCAACTTGAAGACAACCTAGATGGGGTTTGTAATGATGTTTTCTTTTGATGCAAGATCATGTCTCTGATGGTCATGGTGATGACAAAAATGATGAATAACAGTGTGAACATGATGGCAACCTTGATGTTTAACAAGCTGTTCATTGGTGAAGAGAAGTAACAAGGATTGATGATGATCCACAAGAAGATCAACATCATAATCTTGAAGTCAAACAAGATGGCAGGGATGTACAGTCATAAAACAGTCCATGTGAAGATCATCATCACGATCCTCGTAATGGTCATGATTGCTGTTCATGTTGATGACCAAGATCATGAATTGTGGTCAGGATAGTGACCTTTTTGATCAAAAAGTAGACTGAGTGGAAATAAAGAAACCTGGTGAAATATAAAAGGTTCAGTGACCCATCAAGTGGTGAAGGACATGTACAGTTGCAACTGGTGAAACATGCCTGCCAATCCCTCTGAGGTGGTCACTCATGAAGGGCATGATTGAAGATGGTGTGACATCAGTTTTGCAGGACTTCAAGGTGAAAAAGATTTACAAGTCATTGCTTCAAATTCCCACATGCACCTTGGCAAAGGGAGAGCAAAATATTTAGAATGTTTTGCAACTCCTTTGCTACTGCTATGTTTCCTCACAGGCTTTGAATCTCTGAGGCTTCACAGATGACAACCATGAAGATGGATTGGTCCAAGCAGCGCTGAAACAGAATGTGCGAGGCACCCTCATTCAGCCTTTGAGCCCCCTACAATGGGTGCATCTCACTGCCCTTTGTTTGTATCCTGTGCCTTGCCAGTACCCTGGGTGTTGCAATCATTTTTGTTGCTGATATTTTTACCATGCAAATTGGTGATTCTCACAAAGCTCATATTTTTCCACCAGCTGTCCATCAGGATGGGGTGGATACAAATATTATATTTGACTCCACTGATTTGGATCAGAGAAGTGCACGTGGTGCATCATTGATGGCCACGTTTGATCGGATTTGTGCCAACTACCAGCAAGCCATGGATGTTGAAGGTGTGACTGATGCAGTTGTCCAAGTGACTTAGCTCCAAGGCCCATGTCTTAATGATTTGCAATTGGTAATTTGTATATTATATTTTCTTTTCTCACAATCTGGAACTAACTTGCTGTTGTTTTTGCCTCTACTTTTGCAACCAGGCGAAAAAGCGACAACGACGTGGCCGACCCACGAAATCCAACAAAGATGCTGGAAGTAGTGGTGCCAATGAGACAGCTGTGGAAGATCAAGAAGCTGTTCGACTGGGCACCACGCGGTGCACTGCTATTCGCAACATCCTCCGCTACGCCACGAAGGAAAGCTGGGCATGGATGACAAGTCATGTGTCATGGTGCCAGGGATACAGGCAATCTGCACTGAGTGATCAGCTACTTGCATCCAAATTCCTTTGGCCTATGAGTCCATCTCCACCAGGCCTTTTGCCAAATGAGCAGCAAGAGGCCTCTGCTCGAATGGTTCCTTGACAAGGTGGTGCAGCTATTTTTTTGGTGATTGTCAGGGTTTCTATGTGGTGCAGTTATGTTTTTTTTGTGATTGGCAAGGTTTCTATGAGTAGTTTTTTCCTATACCACTGCTCCTCCCATCCAGGCTTCAGACATGGCATTGAGGATGGTGCCGGAGGGGGTGAAGGTCAACTTGACAGACTTCAGGAGCCATTTGTCTGTAGAGGAGCACAACCTCCTGGTCAGGAAGTTGGTTGCACTGTTTGAGGTCAGTGTGCAATCCTTGCCAGCGGAGGCAGCAAGGTCAATGCTCCTTGCTGCAAGTTGTGCTTAGACTTTGTGGTTAAGTGAACACTGGTTTTGTTGGACCATGCTTAGTAGTAGTTTGATTGAGCTATTTTGTTTTGAGGGGGTGGATCAGTGGACCAGGCAACGCCCCGGCTTGGACAAGCTGATGCGCAGTCGGCAAGTCATTTGTCTGTGGAGCCGATGCATGAAGGGCTGCTGTGAGCAAGACTTGCTGGCTGATGATCTCAAGTCAGTGACCCAAGTCATTGAAGAAGGTGATGTTTTGGATGAACAGGCTGGGATAGTGTTCTGTTGATGTTCAGAAAAGACACTTCACTTTTGATTTAACAGAATCATGTTAGTCTTAAACTAGTCTTTCTTTTCTTCTTTGGTGCCCTTGAAGGTGATCAAGTCCATTGAGAGCTTCCCAACCCACTTCCATGTTGGTATGGTGACGGACTTGCGAGGTGCAGTATGTGAAGATGTCGACATGTCACAGGAGAAAGCTGTGGAAAGGGCAGAGGAATCTCTCTGGAAAGCTCACTTGGAAAGCTTTGAAGCGCACTTCAACAAGGACTTGTTATTGCTCAAGCGAGCCATGCAAGGACATCGCATGCTGCAAGACAAACTTGGCTGGCTGGCACATCAAAAGAGGATCCAGCAAGTCAGTGTAGCGCAGCGTCTTGTGCAGCAGCACATGGAATGGTGCTTTCCCCAGTTGCAGACTGACTGGTCAGCTTTGGTTGGTGACCTCCAGCAAGGGATCATGAAGCCTGTTCCGACCCTTCCTCCACCATCAGTGGGAAGTGCCTATCAGAGTGACAAAGCGATTGGACTTACGCTGGCACGGCTTGACATGAATGTCCCGATGGCTCGGAATGCCCTTGTGGTGGAGAAGTATGGGCCACTGCTGGCAACGCTGGCGAGGGTTCATGGCGCAAGCAACTTTGCAGTTCTGGTGGTTTTGGCATCGCGGCCAAAGGAGGATTCCACGACTGACGTTCTTGAGGATGAGGTTGTCATCACGCGGAAGCTCTCGCAATGTGGCTTTGGGGCGAACATCAAGATCATTCAGGAGTTGAGCCCCAGTGCAGAGCTAATAGATGCAAACTACTTGCAGCGAGACACACATGTCACCTACAAGCTCTTCATGATGCATGACAACTTGAAGGTTGCCTTTGCTGAGAACAAGTGGTGTGCATCATCCGCTGTGCTCACTGCCAAGATCACAGGCGCGGCTGTCACATGCAGCATTGGGTTGGCTTAGTAGTTGGTACACTTACGCAGCACTAACTGTCAAGGATTGAAATGTTTGCCTGCCACTCCCTAGGAGCCACATCTCCACCTGCATCTGAGCTGTACAATGTACAGTCCAGTCCCCTGCTTCTGCTTGGTGGCTTTCTTTTTTCTACTGCAAGTGAATGGTCCTTCCACTGAATGTGTTTCCCTGTTCCTTGTGCAAATCCCAGGTTCTGAGGCCAGTGAGTACAAGGAGCGATTGAGGGTGGTTGCGGCAACACGTGCAGCACAGCGTGGAGTGGAATGCTCTGAGAATATGATCAAAGATCTCCTGAGTGGGGTGGTGACTGCCCAAGACATTGTGGAGATAGTTGACTTGCACCCGTACAATGGGGACTTGTCCATGGCCATTTGTCGCCTTCGAATGTCAGGAAGCTTGAAGTGCAAGCTTCGATGCTGGATGGTGGACATCCCAGGCAAGAATTGCACTCAAGCAGCCTTTTCAATCAAAAGGCGTGGTTGGATACCCCAAAAAGATCCCAAATATCTTGCTGTGCATTACATGTGATTTTCATGATTTTGTGAAGTTTAAGCTGTTCTGTTCCAATTGGGTCTCTTCCCCTTTTGAGGTTGGCTGGCTTCCTTTCCTCCAAATGGTTGTCCAAGATGGTCACACTATATGAAGAGGAGGTGGGGCAGTCAGGGCGCCTTCGACCTGTCATGCCAGAGCCAGAGACAGCTCTCTCTGCGGAGGATTTGGAGGCAATGAAGCAGGTGCCAGGTGTATATGAAGCTTATGAGGGCCTCAACAAGTTGCAGCTTGAAGTTCTTGTGCCCTGATGTATTAAGCAAAGTCTTCTGCGATGTTTGTTCATTTTGTTTCTCACAGATGCTCACCCCCCTGGAAGTGATAGTTAAAGGTTGATTTCAGAATTTTGTCCAAATATGAGGCAATCACTGGAAGTGCAGTGGCAATCAA